ACGGAGCGATGGTGCCAGGCCCGTGTCCAGATGGCGCTCCTGCCGGCAGCTCCCGGGCACCGCCTGCCCCTCCCCGCAGGGCCTGGCACAGTCCCGCCTGGCACCTGCCGGTGCCCCTGCCGTCCTGACGACCACTTCGTGTGTCTGTCGGGCTCCCCAGGGCCCTGCGGATGGACAGGATGGGGTGGAGTCAGCATGCTGGTTGCCCCCCGGCAGAGACAGAGCGAGTTTCCCGTGAACTTGGGGTGTCTGGGGATGAGTCCTGGCGCTGCCTCCCAACTGTGTCCTGTGGGGAGTAGGTGCCCCCCATGCCAGGCCTCGAGAGAGGTCAGGGGTCAGGTCAGAGAGCCATCATTCACCATGTGGGTGAGCAGGGGTGGCAGGTGGGGCTGCCAGATAAAATGCAGGATGCATTTAATATTGTATTTTAACTAAAGAACAAATAATTTTGTAAAATATAAATATGTCTTATGGGATGTACTTACACAAAAAACTTACTGCTTGTTTACCTGAAATTCAAATTCAGCCGGCATCCTACCTGTTTATTTTTTATTGATTGATTTGAGAGAGAGAGAGAGAGAGAGGGACGCTGATTTGCTGTCCCACATATTCACGCATCATCGGTTGATTCTTGTTTGTGCCCTGACTGGGGCTCAAACCTGCAACCTTGGTCAATCAGGACAATGTTCTAACCAACTGAGCTACCCGGCCAGGGCCCTATATTTTATTTGCTAAATCTGGCAGCCATAGTGACAGGAGGAGTGACCCTAAGATGGGAATGTGAGTGTGTCCCCCTTGTGGGGTCCCCAGCGGCCTGGAGAACATGTCGATTGTGTCTGCTTTGGGTGCTGCTGGCTGCTGAGAGGTCTGGGGATGAGGGCACATGTCCTTGGGTCTGAGCGCCTGGGGGCTGCAGGTAAGGCCAGCCTTCTTAGGAACCCCCACACTCCCACCTGTGTCACTCGCTGGCTGTTAACAATAATAACAGCTGGCGTTATTACGTGCCAGACGCTGTGGCAAGCACGGAACGGCTCAGCTGGTCCTCCCGACAGCCCTGTCCCTCGGGAACAGCCCATTCCCATTTTACAGACCAGAAGACAAAGCCCCAGAGCCTGGCCACCAGCCACCACATGCTGCTCCAGCCCAGCCCTGACACTGCCCCGCCTTTAACTGAGCCACTGCTCTGTGCCAGATGCTGGCAGAAAGCTCTGTGTCTCATGGTCGTGGACACCGAGAGCCCACTGTGTGCCAGACAGCGTGGTGGGCACTTAGGAACGAGATCTAAGATACGATTCAACCCTTCCAGTTGCAAACGAAAGGCCGAAGCCCAGAGAAATGACTCGCTCAAGGTCACCCAGCAAATCTGTCGCAGGGCCTGGCAAGCGTCTGACCACTGACTCAGCATCCACCTCCCCCCCCATGGAGAGACTGCTGCCATTAAAGAGTTAAAGGCATGGGATTCTGAGATGGGAGGGGTTGGGGAGGGGACAGTAAGGTCCTGGTGGGCTGCTGGCCAGTGGCAGCTCGTGGGCTGGCTGCCTTGCACTGTCCCTCTGCTCTTTACTAGATAATGCTTCCTGATGGATGAGCCAGAAAGTGCTGTGTCGCAGGGTCAGGCGGCTCAGGTGATGGCTTTCTGGTGAGATTGATGGCTCTCGAAGGTCAAATTCAGAAAGTAATTCCTTGGGAAAATTGATCCTATGGATGCAGGGGAAAGTCTGGGCTGGAGGTGCAGCCGGGAGTCTGGACCCCCCCCCAGGTCTGGGCAGGGGGGAAGCTGGTGCTGGGAGGGAGGTGGGAAGGGGGCCTCCTTCCTTTGTGGCTGCAGTTCCTTGGCCGAGGCCGGGCCTCAGGGCTGGTAAGCAGTGCCCGCCCCCCTAGTCTTTGTCGCCTGCGTGGAATCCACCTAAGGCGAGCGCTAGGGGTAGAAGAGTGGCCATGAGGTCACTGTTTCTGCCACGTCTACTTGTGTGTGTTTGTGTATTCAACAACTTCCCTGAGATATCATTCACACACCACAGAATTCACATACTTTAAGTGCATGATTCGCTGTGCTTTCAGTGTACCCCCCACAGTCAACATAGAACGTTTCCATCACCCGAAAAAGAAACTCGCTCCCCTGGGCCGTCAGCCTCATCCCCTCCCCCAGCTCCTGTGGATTCGCCTCTTCTGGACATTTTACACAAATGGAATCACACATAATGTGGGCTTTCGCATCTGGCTCCTGTCACTCAGCGTGGTGTTGTCAAGGTTGATCCATGTGTAGCTCGTGTCAGTTCTCATTTCTCTTCATGGCTGGGTAATATTCCATTGCACTAATGTACCACATTTTGTTTTCCTGTTGATGGACAGGTTGCTTCTACCTTTTGGCTATTACGCATAACTCGGCTATAAATACTCACGTACAAGTTTTCATGTGGAAATATGTTTTCATTTCTCTTGGGTACATACCTAGGAGCGGAATTGCTGGGTCCATGAAAGTTTGGTTTCACCCTCTGAGGAACCGTCAGATTGCTTCGCACAGCGTCTGCACTATTTTACCTGCGCTTTCTCCGCACGCTCCCCACACTGGTTACCACCTGCGTTCTTGGCAACAGCCGCCCTACGGGCAGGAGGTGGGAACTCGGTGGTTTTGATTTCCATTCCCGGATGGCCGAGGGTGAGGAGCATCTTTCCATGTGCTTGTTGGCTGTTCGTGTTCCTTCTTTGGAGAAATGTCTATTCAGATTCTTTCCCTATTTAAAAATTGAGTTGTCTTTTTATTACTGAGTTGTAAGAGTTCATCGTATCTTCATATGATAGAAATCTCTTTTCAGAGGCACAGTTTGCAAAACTCCTTCCCATTCTGTGGGCTGTCTTTTTACTCCCTTGATGGTGTCCTCTGAAACACAAAGGTACTTAAGTTTGATGAAGTTCAATTGATCTTTTTCCTCTGTTGCTTGTGTTTTGGGCGTCGTGTGTAAGAGACACTGCTTAATCCAAGGTCATGATCACCCCTACGTTTCCTTTCCAGGGTTTCCTCCTTTTAGCTCTTACAGATAGGTCTTTGCTCTGTTCTGAGTTCATTTTTGTTTCTGCTGTGAGGCAGGGCTCTAACTTCATTCGCTTGTACGAGGCTCTCTCATATTATTTACTTACTTAATAATTAAATTAACATACTTTATTTATTTTACACTTTTCCGACAAGTATTTATTGTTAGTTGAGCCATGATTCAAGATCCTAGGGCGAGATGTACCCGGGCCCTCACCTCCCTGGGAGGATGGACGGCAGCGGGCGGGGGGCTGCCGCCAGCTCAGGTCCCCCCAGGAAATGCGCCTGCGCCCGGCAGCCACCCCAGGCCGACACCCAGGATGTGGGCAGAGGGACTTGCACACACGCTGGGACCATTCGCACGGAGGCATCACCCCCTGGAGCAGCCGTTGCCCTCTCACGGGGCGGAGGCCCAGGTGGTCCTGCCAGCAGCTCCTGGGCTGGCTCTGGCTGGGGAAGCGCCGTCACAGGGAGCAGTCCTGTAGTTCTTGATTTTGGTCTTGATGTCTTCTGCCATGTTGCTGACTCTTAAAGCCACCCCTGAAGCCACTTGCAGCTCCAAATTAATATACTTTTAAATTTTGGCCTCACCTAGGTAACAATGTCCCAGGTTTAATGAATTTGTCACTTAAAAGAAACACTGTGTATTCAAAAATACACAGTCACCGTTGAGCTGTTTTATGGTTCGTGTTGGGATCAGGGAGGGACACCTGGGTTTGGGCCAGGAGTAACCAACCATATGACCTTGGGCGGGCTTCCCCCCAACCTGCGCCACGTGGCCTGTCCGGCTCTGACACCCTGAGACTCCCTGCCATCGTCATTACAGTGCGCTTCTCAGATTCAGCTAGTCTTTTGCACATTTTTAACAATCCAAGGTCAATGTTACCACCCAAAGTTGAGATGGCAATCTCTTTTTTATGTAGCTGATATCTAAAAATATCTTGTCCTCAGGCCAGAGGCGCGGAATACATTCCTGGTTCCACACAGCTGGTTCCTCTCCAGCTAGCTCCGTGGGATATTAAATAGGACTTGGGAAGAAAAAAAAAAAATAACCTAAAACCTTCCGAGGTCAAATACGTTTTGCAAACTTTCGTTAGACAAAGTCAGAAGGGTTTCATTCCCGCAGGGCTTGTCAGAGCCTTTAATCTGCTAGTACGCACGTGTTGCTGTGTGTTGGGGGCAGGCGGCAGGGTAAGAGGGCATTAGGAGAGCCTCATATATGTCGGCTTGTGGTCTGAGCACAGGATCATCTCTGGGGTCCCCAGTAGGAAGAGTCCCCAGTGCCAACAGGTGCCTGCCCATCCCCCTCTGTGCCTTTCCCAGAGCTGGGCACACAGAGGCCCTGTGTACGTGGCCACGGATTAGGACTCCAGAGAAACAGTGAACTGGTTTTTCCACAGGCCTCTTACTTCAGCTCTGTGTTGTGGTGGAGCTGTGTCCAGGCTGCAGGGAAAGCTGGGTCCATCCTTGGACCTGGGACTTGAGAGTCACCAACAGTGGCTGGTGTGTGTCATGGTTTCCAGGGAGCTCCCTCTCCCCAGGCCTGAGGGACCCTCTCCTGAGGCGGGGGGTGTACATGAGCTCAGGGGCTGGGGAGCAGCTCCTGCTACCTGTCAGCCCACCTTAGTCTAGAGCAACGGTGATCAGAAGCTGGTTGCTAAAAACATAGCATCTGGGACAAGTGTACCTTGTCGCTCTGCCCCAACAGAGACTTGGGAAACCCTGGAAACCATGATCCAGAAGGTACACCAGCAGCACAAGTCGGGGGGCAGCCTTCCTCCCGGGCGAGGACTGAGATGGCCCCCTCGACGGGAGGGGGGTCGGGAGTGTTTGTCCCAAAGAAGAATCCTGGCAGGTTGGACTGGGGGCCTCTCGGGTCCCTCCCGGCCCAGGCACCACCCAGGCCCCGTCCCGGGGACCAGCCGGCTTGCCGTGAGCCCGCTGACTCTCTGTCCCTGTGTCCCCGCAGGTGCAAGTGTAACCTGCACGCCAACCTGTGCTCCGTGCGCGAGGGCAGCCTGCAGTGCGAGTGCGAGCACAACACCACGGGCCCCGACTGCGGCCGGTGCCGCAAGAACTTCCGCACCCGGGCCTGGCGCGCCGGCTCCTACCTGCCGCTGCCCCACGGCTCGCCCAACGCGTGTACGTACGGGCGGGGCCGCAGCCTCCCGCCCTCAGCCCCGGGGTCCAGGGTCTCACACGCGTGCATATGCGCACACGCTACCACACACAAACACGTGTGCGCACAAGCATGCGTGCACATACATGTGCACGTGCACAAACGTGCGCACACACTCACACGCCTTGTTACTGGTCCCCGAGCACCCGGCCTTGTGATCAGCCCTGTGTGCTCCCCACACCTAACCTGCTGCTCTGGCCCTGGGTGCGGGGAACCTGGGGCGAGCTGCTCAGCTCAGCATCTCCCCTGCTGTCCTTCCCCTTCGTGACCCTGGAGATGAGAAGGCCTGAGGGGTGTCAGGGCAGAGGGGCGTGGGGACCCCTCACCAGCTGGCTGGTCAGCACCGTCTCTCATAACCAGCGTTCACGGGCATTCACAGCCACATGCTGCCTGGTCGGCCTCCCTCCACCCTCAGAGCCGCCCCTGGAAGCAGGTCTCCTGGTACCCTGTGCACAGAGGGGTCCTTTGAGGCCGGCACCGAGTCCCCTGATGACCTGAGTCCCCTCTGTTTCAGGGAAGCCATCCTTGGGTGCAGCCATATGAGCCTGCATCTGACACGCCCACTCACCGGGGGCCCAGCACAGTCCACCATGACTCCCAGGGCGCCCGAAATGCAGGGGGGAAGGGAAAGCTGACCCTGGGGGTCGGGGGCTCTTCTGGACCCACCCAAGTGGTTTCACTGATGTCTGACATGTCAGGCGCGTTGACAGAGCCCGCACTCAGCACAGCTTTTCACGTAGACCCTGGCAGCAGACCCGCTGGCGGTGTTATTACGATCGCCCCACTCTCCAGACAATCAGACTGAGGCCCGGGGCCCTCAGCGCCCTCCGGGATTTAACTTCATGGCATGGGCCAGCGCTGGGACTTAAGGCCGTCACCACACTGACTACAGAGCCAGGGCTGGGTGGTGGCCTCTGGCACCTGGAGGGCCATCCCGCCCACCTGACTACCTGGCAGGGGCCCCTCCGTCAGCGCCCCAGGACCCACCCGGGAAAGATCTATGTGACTGATCAAAGCGGAAAGCCTTGCAGCAAGGTCACAACAGGCGTGTGCGGGTGACTGTGTGACAGGCCTTTGAAGGGCTGCGTCTCACATTCCCGCTTCAGAGGAACAGAGCACTGACAGCTGGCCCCTCCTCCCAGGTGCCCATCCCCAGGTCATGTTCCCCGAACCCCCTTTAGTCCCTGCCACTCCCTCTCTGGCAGCCTCACTGGCATCGCCTGTCCTGCTGGCCTCCCCCTTCCCTCTCTCCTCCCTGCCGCCTCTCCTCCTCTCTGTGCCAGGTTCTCCTTCCAGAAAGATCCTCCAAGGTCTCCAGGCCCCCACAGCCAGAGACCCTGCCCTGCAGGTCACACCCCCTGTCTCCCCAGCAATGGACAGACAGGCTGGCCGGGCAATCTTGAGGGGCAGCTGACACTGCTGGTTTGGGGCGCTGCCCCCGCTCTCCTCTCCCTCGGGGTCTGCAGGGATTGTCTGAGGCCCCCAAGTCCAAGAGCAGGGGTGAGACTGGCAGTGACACGAGTCCTCGGCCTGAAGCTTCCTCACCCGAGGCCCCACCTTCTCTGGGACAACCAGGGGAAGAGCCCCGAGAAGCACAGATTGAAACAAGCCCAGGGTCCTTATGCCCTCCCCCCTTCTCCCCTCTCAGCAAGCGTCACTAACACCCAGGGGGCCAAGCTGCAAGTGTGAGGGTCACCCTGGACCACAGCCCCACCCCCTCCCGCCTCCCTCACACAAAGGCCTTTCCTCACCTGGGTGCTCATGGATGCTTCCCCCGTGCTCAGAATCGCCCATGGCTGGAAGTTTCCTTCCCCTGGCCCTGCTCCCCCACCTCGGCCTCAAGAAAGTGGCAGCCTGGGCCCTTGCTTCCCTGGCCACCAGGCTGTGACCCTTCTCTCCCCACAGGTGCTGCTGCAGGCTCCACTGTTGGCAGTAAGTACACACCTGGGTCCCCACCCTGGGGATAGTGACCGGGGCCTGCAATGCCCAAGCCTCTTGCATGTGCTGGGAAGAGCAGGAGAGAAAAGCAGGGATCTCCTGCCCCACTGGGCCATGGGGCGCCCCACTCCCCCGTCATCACCCGTGTGCATCGTCACCTCTCACCGCTGCTTCCTGTCCCCTCCGCTGGGGCCTACAGTCCCACCCTCACAACTTCCCCCTCTAGCTTCTCGGTTAGTGCTGCTTTGGAAAGGTCCGCAGGACCCCTGGGTGAAGCCTGGCCCTGCCCTCTTTAGCCAGGCAACAGCGGGGGTCGGTCACCTTCTTCCCCGGCCAGCTGCAGAATCCACTCCCCCCAGTCTCCAGTGGGAGGCCGTGGGGTCGGCCTCCCTCCGGGCAGCCTGCAGTCATCAGCTCTGGTGAGGCTGGGGGAGGTAAGCCCGGGGCCTAAGGCGGCCAGGTCAGCTCACACGGAGCAGTCAGATCACCTGGAGGGAGCGAGGGAGGGTGGGCACAGGTGCCAGCCGCTGTCCTGAAGGCATCATCGCATCGCTGTGCCTGGCACTGTAGGCAGGATGGGCGTAGCATCCCATCTAACCCTTGCACTGAGGTGGGCATTGCCACCTGCTAGAGAGAGGTGCCAGTGTCGAGCAGCCGGCGGTGGGAGATCCCAAACCTCAGAAATGCTTTTGGGGGCACTGCCTCTCTCCACCAGGGCCCCTTGGGGCCATACCTGGCCTGGGCTGCCCCCTGCTGGGACACCAGTGGGTGGAGAGGGCGCCAGAGGAAGTTGGGTCTGGAGGGGACTCAGGCCCACCCGGGGGCCCTAAGCTGCTTCTCTGCATTGCCCCCACCCACCACCTCCCCAACCCTCTTGCTTCTCTCCTCTCTCAGAAGGCAGAAGGTCCCAGAAAGACCCTGTCCCGAAAGCCCCTGTGGCCTTGAGGGGGGACCCAAACACTCCTGCGCCCTCCACATTCACTGCTCGGGCCCCTGTGGCCCCCAGCACCCCACAGCCCACAGGTGGGTGCCCAGGTGCAGCCCAGGTGCCCCGCCTTCCCCACTTCTTGCCCAGCCCCCGCCTCTCTCTGACCTGTGATGATGTTCTGGGGGTATCAGCCCTGGGGAGGCCGGGGCTTGGCTCTTAGAGGACGCTGGAACCCCGTAGCCACAGGAGTGTGGACGCTGGAACCCCGTAGCCACAAGAGTGTGGACCGAGGGGCCTCCAGGCCGTCTGGACTCACCTGTCGCCGAGACCCAGCCGGGGGGTTCAGGGCTCCCTTTAAGCTGCTGGACTCTTCTTCCTCCTACACCCCACTCCCCAGGCACTGCTCAGGAGGGTGCCAAAAGGACGGAGTGACCTAGAAGGAGGGGCCCAGTGGCAGCAAGGCCCCCAAAGTTCCCCCAGAGACAGGGCTGTCTCCAGCGGGCCTCCTGCTTCAGCGCCCGCCCCACTGGCCACCCTCACCCTGCTCGGCCCCAGCCCCTCAGCAGCCCGGCCCGGGAATGGACACTCGGGGGGAGCCAAGAAGGCGGGGCCGAAGGGAGCCGCTGGGCCCGCTCTCAGAGCCCCGGCTGGGCATTGCCGAGCAGGGGTGCCAGGGCCAGGCGGGGCCGGGCTCCGCCCCGCGTGGGCAGAGCGGCCTCCCCTCTGGCCCTGAACTCCCCTGCGGGCTTGGCCACACCTGGGTCTTATTTCCCTCAAAGGCGGCACCTGTCTGCGCCGAGGCTCGGGGTGCTGGGTGGCCCTCTGGTCTCCCCTGGGGTCTCGCCAGACTCTGCCTACTGCAGGTGCCACACGTCCTAAAGGGCTCGTCCTTCCCAGAGGGCCCGGGGACCCGGGCGCGGCGCCCCCGCTTGGGGGCAGCTCTCTCCTCTTTCCCGCCACCCCGGGAGGCGTCTGCAGGAGGCAGGGGCGAGCCAGGGGGGCCGAGGGTTTCAGGGGAGCCTCTTGGCCCAGGAAGCGTCTTTGGGGTGGAGAGCAGGGGTTACTCTGGAATTCAGACAGAACTTGGCCCGGCCACCTGAGACTTCTGCTTTTTTTGCTGAGCCTGTGATGGGTAGATGGGAACAAAAACAGTCATGGTGGGTGCTGTGTCTGCCTGTTCACGGTGGCCTGTCTGGGTGCGAGCAGGACGTTCTGGCACACGCACACGCACACGCACACGCACACTGAGGAACCGTCACTCCACCTCAGCTGCTTCTGGTTTGGTGCAAGGGGTGCAGGGCAAACCGCGAAGCTGGGAGCTAGGAGAGGGTCAGAGGCCAGGGCAGCGAGCGGAGCCGAGGTGACACTTGCATCGTGAGGAGGAGACCCCCCCCAGCCGCCCGACTGTTCAGTGGGGGCGTGGTCAGCTTTGCATCCTGAGCACAGTAGGGCAGCAGGGTGTTAGGGACAAAAGCCGTTCCCGGGCGACAGCCAGTGACCTGAGGTGCCCACGTTTCGGGGTCCTCACTCCTCTTTAGCAACCGAAGCCCATGCCTGAGCCCCCATTGTGCCTGGACCCCCGCTAAGAATGACAGTGGCCGCAGCTGGAGGAGACCGGGCCCCTGGGTCACAGCTCTGAGACGGGGCGGCTGCTCTCCCTAGTCGCACAGGAGGGGGTGTTAAGGCTTAGGGAGAGGCGGCTGGGTTCCATGGTGCGCAGATGTACCAGAAAGCTGTTTGAAAAGATAGAAGAAATGAAAAAAGCAGGGCTCAAGGTAACAGGATTACCAAGGCACTTGGGGAGGACTCGAACTCGGGGCTCGGTGACTCCAGGCCCTCCCTGTGCACTCAGCCGCCCCGCACTATCACCCTGCGACCTCGGGGGCTGTGAGGCGGTGCTGTCATTAAGACCTGGCTTGCACAGCTCCCAGGTCCCGACTCCGAAGGAACAGACGGGCCTCCATCTGGTCTTGGCACAGGACAGAGGCCCCTGTGAGAACCTCCTTCCCGCACACCTGAGCCTGTCCCTGGAGAGGCCAGCGGGGGCCTTTCCCGCCCTCCCCTCCCCCCCATCCCAGTCCCCGAAAGGTGCTGAGTCTCCCCAGGTGCCTCCCCACAGGTGCTTTGGACCCTGGCCTGAGTCGGGCTGGGCCCGTGAACCGCAGGCCCGGTGTTCCTCCCCCCGCCGGGTCTAGCTGTCTGCAGGGCAGGGGCTGCCTGTGGAGAGGCCGCTCCCAGCGCCAATCCTCCCCCCCAGGAGTGCGGTGGGAGGGAGGCTCCAAAGCCAGAGCCTCGGGCAGGTTTTAGCTCGGCCCTAATTAAGCCCTTGCGATTGGGGCCGGCGGGCTGGGCTCCTCTTTGAGCACCGGAGTCATGTCAATTCCACGTCCAAAGGCCCCTGGCTCCCAGCTGGAAAGTCTCCCGCACTTTTTAGCTGGTAGATTTTCTTCTTTCCCCACCAGCCAGCACCCCGAGTAATCCCTTTAGAAGCAGAAAGAATCCAGTTTCTCCCAGGCCCCTCTGGGCCTGTCCTTTGAAATTCGGCTCAGAGCAGCACCCTCATTTTGCCAGCCGCTGCTTCCCGGCTGTGTGTCCTGTTGGTCGTGGAGGGGGCGCTGTGGCATTTGGGGGTTGACTTACACTGGGGTCCCTGGTAAAAATGGGCTCAACCCAGGGGTTGGAGGGAAAGGTGGTGGCTGGGGGGCAGGCCAGACGCAAGAGGGCGTGCCGTTCCTGTGTTGGGTTGGACTCTCTGGACCATGTTTGATGTCTTGGCCAGAACATACGCCCCCTTTATAACCATTAGCCGGAGACTTCAGCAGAGAGCTCTGGGCCCAGACACGGACTCGACCCGACTCTGCCTGTCATTGACTCTGCCCGTCAGTGGGAACAGGACCACATAGGGAGGGTAGAAGAGTCCCCAAGTCGGTGTCCCCCTGAAGAAAGGCCTGCCCAAAGTCTGCAGATTCTCAGGCATGGAGGCGGCCTCCCATCTGGCTTCCAGTCCATGCCCTGCCCGCTGCAGGCTGCAGTAGTGTAGACACTGCCTCTCCCATAGATTTGGGCCTAGTTCTATTTGGCGAGTGTAGACAGAGCTGCCTCTTATAGTGCTGCTTCTGATAACAGGCCTGGGGGGCGTGATGCCTCAGTATGTCCCCAGGATACCCCCAGCCCCAGCCCCTTGCATGACTTCCTTCCTTCTCTTCTTTCCCCCCAAGAGTGGAACAGACCATGGACAGCAGCCCCCCCAGGGGAGAGCCCCCCCTGGCCCCAGGTTTCCTCCAGTGCAGAAGGTATGGGGGGATCTCCCTCTCAGACCCCTAGGCCCCTCCCCTTAGTGGAGATAGCAGGTGTGCATGGTGGGGACCTGGGGTGGGAGGGTGCCCCAGGGAGCAGAGGGGAGGAGCCTTGGAGCTCTACCTGCCCCACACCTAACTCTCACCTACTTAGGGTCAGTGTGGCATCACCAACCCCGCTTAACCCCCCCCCCC